ATAGTCATGGGGATAGTATGCAGTGTGTCACTGCGGTGGTGCTAACCCCAGAGCTACACAAAAGCCAAATTCTTTGATTGGAGCCAACTGTGACAATGCACATGCCCTTAGGAAAGGTGACACAGCCAGCTTAAATTACAAGAGCCATCGGAGCATGAGAGAAGCAGGCAAAGGACACAAGAGGACAGGTTATTAGGGGTACTTTACCATAGACCTTTCCCAGAGCCCCACTTCACACTTTGGAATTTACTGACAGTCCTGAAATGAAGAACTAGCACCATGTTTGGTCTGGATTGAAAATTCACCAGAAGTCTAGACTGTGTCTTCAAAAGTGTACTTGATGGAAACCAGAAGAAATGAGTGATGTGAGGCAAACTATGTCTTTTCAGATGTTATATCACACTGACAAGTCATGCTAGACAAGGTGAGCTATCTCAGTAATACCCAATTCTAGAAGTCAAAGCACAACACCTTTCCAATACACTACCTCATCTCAGTTAATCCTTACACACTGAAGGATACACAGAAAGTGACTGACAGATGAGCCTTTGCCCAGGCAGGTTTTGAAAGCTCAGACTTGAGTCTCCCCCTCTGTGGATGCCAGTTTCCCATCTCTCTGTAGGTAGGTAGATATCTTAGATGTCAGTTATTTATCTCTGTTTCCCTCCACAAGGGGACTCACTGGACAGTCTCTTAAGGCTTACTCAAACTGTAGAGGATACACCTTGGCTACAGAGCCATCAGGCATGTGCTTTCAGATGCATGGAGATAATGGCTACTGCTATAATCATTTAGGTAGTACAGGGAGGCCCAAGTCCCTTGCTCTATGCTTCAGAGTCTCATGTTAATGGAAAAGCCATGCAGGGGCAAAACATAGTCATCAGATTCACAAAGACATTGACAGTCCAGCACATCCAGAGCTGGCAGGAAGGGGACAGTCTCAGTCCAGGTACAGGCTGAACTGGAGACCTGTGTGCCATCAACAGTTGGTAATTCAGAAACCCCAGGGATCATTGGAAGACAGCAGCACTTGGGGGCTCCTGCCATACTAGTGATTGTGATGTCAAGAATAAGAACCTCGGGGTTTTCCAGGCTACTCTCCTTTCCCTATTATCACTGGCACATAACTAAAGGACTCCAGTGGCTGTGAAACCCAGTCATAGTACAGAAATCTCATTAATTCCTCTGTGCCTCCTTCCAAGAAGTTCCCAGTTCTTGAGCCCTCGCTCTAGAAAGCTGAAGCCCACCACATCCAGAAAGCTCCCCAGCCCCTTCCCAAAACTCACTGCCTCTTCCACAGGACCATGTTTTCCAGGGAGACCCAGGACCAGCTTCCTTCTGCCTCACTCTGGTCTCTCCATGCAGTCCATTCCCTCTGCCAAACAGACCTCTGTGTCTGGATAACATGTCTAGAGGCCAAGCTTGTGGTCACTGAACAAATGACATCAAGGCAGTCAGTGTTGCAAAACACTAGTGACATCACTGGGGATTCCAAGAGCTCTCCAGGATACAATAGAATGTCCAGCAAAGGGTCTGCTGATGTCATGGGGCACAGCCTTTGCCTCCTTGCTAATTAGTTCTCCATGAACTGACCAGAAGCTGCGGTTTCTTTCCAGGAGTCTCTCCTGTGACACAGGGGAAGTCATTCAGCACCTCCTCCTTCCAAAGCTAGAGATTTCTCTCTGCTTCATAAGAATTTTTTCAGTAATCACCCATTGGGAGTTGAACACTCACTTTATAAACACTGCCTAAGATTGGCTCTTACCCTCCTCACATCCATACCAAATAATATGAAAAGGCATGCCAAAGAATTTGGTCATGATCATTGAGGAGGAGGGTTGAGTTCTCTGAAGTGATCAAGCACATGGGGGAGCCTACGGTTAAGAGGTTAAGGTTAAGGGAATTTTAGGATTTGACTCCTTCAAACTGGCTTGCAAGCATGCTTCTTTGGCATTTTCTTGTGGCTAACTGATGGAAGATAGCTCAGCCCTCTGTGGGTATGCAAGTGAACCTGGACCTCAGAGGAAAACTAGCTGAGCAGAGCAGTAAACAGCCTTCTCTGTGGTTTCAAGCCCCTGCCTTGGGATCTTGCCTTGGCTTCCCTTGATGATGGACTGTAACCTGTGAGGTGAATAAACCCTTCACTTTCCCAGATTGGCTTTTTGAACTTTTATCACAAAAATAGAAAGCTAATTAGAACACTTGTCATATTCTCAAGGCATGCTTTCATATCCATCCTTCTCCTTCCAGCCTGTAGCCTCCTTTTTCAACAATTACAAACTTTCTGGACACTGTAGTCTGTTGCAATATCTAGTCTATCAATCACACCCACTGCTTACGTATCTCTATTTAAGTATTTTTTTATTTCATATGTCATCCTTCTCTCCAATATGGCATGCTTCCCTACTTTACACTTTTACAATTATCTCTGGATGTTCCTGCCTGTTCCACTTTAAAAATTATCTGCTGGGCAGTGGTGGCGCATGCCTTTAATCCCAGCACTCGGGAGGCAGAGCCAGGTGGATCTCTGTGTGTTTGAAGCCAGCCTGGTCTTCAAAGCGAGTTCCAGGAAAGGCACAAAGCTACACAGAAAAACCCTGTCTCAGAAAAATAAATAAATAAATAAATAAATAATAAACAAATAAATAAATATCCTTTGCCCAATAAAAAACATTTATGGTCACCTTATGATGTTCCACAGAAATGGGTGATATATTGCATTCACATTTTCTAATTCAATATCTATTGCATTTGTATTATTAATTTAGCAAAATTGACCTTTTCTATTACCTACTTATCCACAAAACTTTAAAAACTTCAATTCATTTAAGTCTTTTGTGTCTTTCAGAACATCAGCTTTGAAGGTCTTGCATGTATTTAGGATTGCTCTTGGGTACCTCATAGCACTTTTTATTAATAACATGCTTTTAAAGTGCGCTTATATAAAATGTCTTGTCATACACTTTTAAGCCTTTTGTGAGTGGAACTGTTTCCCTGATTTCTTTGTCAGTATGTTTGTGATTGGTATACAGGAAGACCACTGACTTTTGTGTGTTGATTTTGCAATCTTTCACTTTTATGAATCTATTTGTCAGGCTTAAGAGAGTTCTGATAAATTTTTAGTTTTATTTGTTTAGAATCATATCATCTGCAAATAAGGACATTTTGACTTCTTTTCCCATTGTATCCCCTTTATCTCCTTCAGTTGTCTTATTGCTCTTGCTAAGAGTTCTATATTGAATAGGAGTGGAAGGAGTGAACATCCTTTTCTTCTTCCTGCTCTTTGGAATTGCTCTGAGTTTTTCTCTATTTAGCATGATGTTGCTGTGGGCTTGTTGTACAACGACTTTATTATGTTGAGTTATATCCTCTATATCCCTCGATTCTCCAGGACTTTTTATCATTGATGAAAGTTGAATTTTAACAAAGGCCTTTTTTTTTCATATACAAAGATGGTCATTCTGTTTTTGTCCTTTATTCATTTCATGTGGTGGAATAAATATGTTGATTTGTGTATGTTGAATTATCCTTGCATGTTTGAGATGAAGACAAATTGACCATGGTGGATGATTTTTTTGATGTGATCCTGAACTTGATATACAAGTATTTTATTGAGAATTTGTGTGTATATGTTCATCAGGGAAATAGGCCTATAATTCTACCTATCTATCCATCTACTATCTATCTATCTACTTATCTATCTATCTACCTACCTACCTATCTACCTACCTGTCTTCCTCACTCAACACCAGGGTATCCCTGGCTTAAAAAAAAGACTTTGAATGAGCTCCTTCTTTTTATATTTCATGGAATATTCTGTGGAGTGTTAGTTTTTCTTTAAATATATGTTCAAATTTGGCACTGAATTTGTCCTTCTCTGGACTTCCTTTGTTGGGAGATTTTTAATTATGGCTTCTATGCCATTAATTAGTATTCAATTATTTAAATCATTCATGCTATCTTTATATAATTTTGATGGATTACAGACATCTAAAACTTCATCAATTCTTCAAAAAGATTTTTCAGTGTGGTGGAGTGTAAATTTCTAAAGGGTTTTAATTCCCTCCATGTCTCCTTTTTCCTCCTTTGTTTCATTATTTTCTTCCTCCTCTTCCTTTTGGTTAATTTGGCTAAAGGTGTGCCCATCTTGCTAATGTCTTCAAAGAACTGACTCTTTGTTTCACTGTATCTTCATATCTTTGTTTTTATTTCATTGATTTCAGTCATATTTAATGACATATCTGTATCACACCCTTTCCACAAGGTTCAAAGACCAACATGGAAGATGAAATAGAAAGACTGTAGGAGCCAGAGGTCAGGAAGGATTAGAGCAAGCAGTGTCTTCTGGCCATGACTCAGAGCTGCTGTGGTCATTGTCCAATATCAAGCCGGTCAACATTCAAGCATGGAGAGGGAAGGGTCCTTGAGCCCCTATTCTTAACTGGTGAGCTTCGGACCAGTAATGGCTTCCAGCAAATTGGGTCAGTTTTCTTTAAGTTTGCCCCTGGGGTTATTAAAAATTAATGTAATGAAGAAGATATAAATTGGGCATCACAGATGTAGGGACAGACTTGGGATGACAAAATGGGAGGAATTGGGTGGTGAATATTTTCAAAATGCATCCTATGCATTCCTCAAACAACAAGTAGAAATATATTAAAGTATATTCATTAAATTATAATTGTAAAAATGTATTATTATATAGGGATATTTTATTACATAACTTTAATGGATTTTGATAACCCCAATGTGTCTGTCAACTTGTGAGTTCACCCACAGAGCATTATCTGTTCTGCCACTAATAGTGTTTTGTTTCAAATGGCAGCCGACAACATGGGAAAAGGTTTTTTCTTTTCATCAACTATATATCCAGTAGAAGGCTAATATACAAAGTATATATAGAACAAAAAACGTGTATATCAAGAAAATAAACATAATTAAAAACTAGCTATAGATCTAAACAGAGAAGTTTCACTAGTGAAAATTCTAAAGTATAGGAAACACATAAAAAGTGCAGTATCCTTAGTCTTTAGGGCAATGTAAATCAAACTATTTTGAGATTTCATGTTACATGAGTCAGAATAGATAAGATTAATAAAACAAATGACAGCTAATGTTGGCAAGAATGGGGAACAAAGGAAACACTCATCCATTGCTGGTGGGAATGCAAACTTATACGGCCACTATGGAAATAGGTGTAGCTGTTCCTTGGGAAGCTGGGAATTGATCAAGACCCAGCTATATCACTCTTGGCATATACCCAAAGGATGCTTCACCTACAACAGAGACACTTGCTCAACCATGTTCATTGTTGCTCTATTTATAATATCCAGAAATTGGAGACATCCTAGGTATTTGTCAACAGATGAATGTATAAAGAAAATGAGGTGCATTTATACAATGGGCTATTAAAAAAGAAGTTAAAAAAAGAAAAAGGAAATCTTGAAAATTGCAGATAAATGGATAGAAGTAGAAAAAGTCATCTTTAGTGAACTAACCCAGACCCAAAAAGACAAATACGGTATGTTTTCACTTATATATGGATGTTAGCTGTTGAGTCAAAGATAAGTAAGCTACAATCTGTATAACCACAGGTTAGGTATAGAGTAAGGACTAGTAGGATGGGAAAATGTCCATAAAGGTGGAATAGAATAGATTGTTATGGATGGATGAGAAATGGAGTTTTGAACAGGATGGTCAAACGAGGAGGGAGAGAGAAGAAGGGGCAAATAAATATAGTGTGGGAGAGGTAAAATTAAGGTGATTTGAGGGATCTTATGGAAACCTAATAGAGTAGAACCACTCTAAAATATATACATATATGAAGGGGATCTAGATGAAACAGCCCCCCCGAAAAAAAACAAATAAACAAAACCAAAACAAACAGAAACCAAAGTGTGGGGAGACAAAGCCCCAAATGGATATCTCTTGTTACCAAATGAATCTTGCAGTACTGGCAATGGGTTACATCTAGTCAAGTTGTAGGTGAAAGGTGTCCAATGGTGATCCCAAACAACCCAAGGTATTGCAAGGGTATTGGATGCTCTCCATAAACTGACAGGAAGGTGCTGTTCCTGAAGATGATAATGACACAATTCACTGAACATGGAGAAGTCAAGCTGGTGTCTCCCTAGAGCCCTCACCACTTATGGACTAGATTTCATGGCACTGAAAAGTACTGTGCTCACTATCAAAGGAGAAAGGTAAACACCAGCCCAGCTACAAAACCTCCATCTAGAATGGTGACTGCATCCAAGATATGGGGGTACAATTGTGGAACAAAGCTTGTGGGAGTAATCAACCAGTACCTGACTTGATTAAAGGCCCACTCCCTGACAGGGAAGGCATACCCAGCACTTCTTGGCTGGCCAAGAACCTAAGACTAGATAGGCTAGGGTCCATGGGGAAAACCAAATACTACTGTTCTGCTTAAGGAACATAGCAATAAAATGATTCCTGAAAACATCATGCTATACTCATAGACAATGCATTTCTCAGCCATCACAGTAGCAGCTTCCTCC